GTGGCAGACGGATCGTCGACAATCCCGCCGCTTTTCCTCGTTTGCGTGTAGCGTCGGAATTGTCGAAATCAGTTGCCCAAGCGGCTCGTGTCAAAGGGGTAAAAAACGATACGAGGTGTGCGGTCCTAACGAAAGCACCCTCGGAGGTGTGCGTGATTTGGGCTGACAATTTGCTTCGCCCCAAGGAGCTCAGCCCATCCCGGTGTGATGCCCACCATCCGGCAGGCACCGCTGATTCGTCGCCGTCCATTGCTTCATACGCCCCCCTTTTTACCATCCGCCGACCCCCCGCCACATCTAGCCCTTCTCGCTCGGGTGTACGCGGATGCGCATGTTGCCCCCCCGCCCCTTTTACCGGCTGTCCCGCCATATCCTTCCGTCTAGAGATGCGAGGCCAAAGTCTAACGACCACGGCATGCACGACCATGAGTACGCCCCCTCCCGGCTGTCCCGCGTGCTCTTCGTTTGCCAACCTACCCCCCTCTCTCCCGCGTGTTTTCAGTTGGCTTGGCGTCTCCCTCGGCGGCCGATAGCTACTTAGCAACTGTTGTGTGTTTGTCGCCAACTGGCTGTTCGTGGTGTTTGTTTGGGCGCGTCCGAGGTCTCGCCCGCTTGCTCTCATACATACGCGTGCGTGTGTGCGTGTGTGTGTGTGTGCGCGTGTGCGTGCGTGCTTTGTTGCGCGGGCTGGTGGACCGTTTCGTCGCCCGCGCTCTTGTACGTGTGCGTACACCAGCGTGGCGGTGCGATGCCTGCAAGCTGAACCTGCTGCCGCAGCTAAACGGCTTTGAGACCGAGGAAGAGGCCCTCCGGCTAGAGAAAGGGGAGGACGGGATTTCAGGTGTGTGTGTTGTGTGATGTCTATCTAACCCTAACCCTAACTCCTAGCCCAACTACGCGTCTGTGAAAATTGCTTCTTCTCGTTATGCATCGACCGCGCGTGCCAGCTGGCACAGACTTTAGCCATCCTTTGATATGCTTGTGGAGATAGCAGCGGGGACCCCCGGCAGAGGGCGGGGCTCACATTACCGTGATTGTGCGGGTCGGGACACACCGGTACGGTAGGTTCGTTATGGCACCCAGGTACTATAAGAAACCACAGCAAGAAGCGATTCTAAGGACTATCGCACTCAAGTGCCAGGTCCGTACGCTTACGGTAGCCCGTGACTTTGAAAGCCGTTTTCGTTATCTTGACGGATCTGTGCGTCGTATGGAGGGGGTACTGACTAGGCATCGGAATGGTTGATTTCGTTGCTGTAAAAACACCAAACACGAACTGAACGACGACCTCACCAGCGACGAAAAGCTCCTATGCGTATGCCGCAGTGTCTAATTGGACTGCTGTGGTATTGCATTACAACACCTAGCCGCGTAGGTTGCTCCGCTCCTTTGGGTGTCCTGTCTCCCCTCGCCCCCTTTACAACAGACGCACACAAGACCTTCAAGCACCGCCGTGTCCACGCCGGAGAGTGTCCATGGGGCCGAAGAGTGATTGATCGCACGCACCGCAATGAAAATCGCCTGCTTTCCCCTCCGGTTGAGGGGCCCTACGGCTGAGATAGGCAGGACCGCCGTAGGAACCGCGAGCGACGGCGGCGTTGCGTGGGAAAGGGGGCGGTGGACGGAGGGGAAGGGGGCTCTAGTAACCGTAGATGCTGACCAGCTGTTTTTATTCCGTACGGCGTGCGCCGCAATGAACAAACCCACGACAGGTCAGCTGCTGCTGGCGCAGACCCTGCTCGCCTCCGAGTCGCCGGTGACGGTCGTCGCCACGGGCCCCTTGACCAACCTGGCCTGGGTGCTGGACAACTTTCCGGAGGCATCACGCAAGATCGACAAGGTTTTAATCATGGGTGGGTCTCGCTCTTTCCCTCGTGTCAAGGCCAAGATTTTGAATCTAGATAGATACAGTCGTCGTCATCATCATCACAGAGATGACTTCGGGTGCCGGTTGTTGGTTGTGTTGTGGGCGGGATTGTACGCGCGCCTTTGTCGTCGTCCGGGTTACTCCGACTGGCCTTTGGAAGCACGCCAGCAGCGCGTGTCCCCGCGGACGGTTGCAAACCGAACCGCTGCGTTAGTCGCCGTTGTCGTCGACGTCGTCTTCTACGTGTGACTGGCACAACAAACGTTCATGTGTGTGCGTGTTTGTCGAATCGCGGGTTTCCACCGATAGACGCGTGTTTTACGTGTGTACTGTACGGCGTTTTTTTTGGTTTCAGTTTTTTCCAGGAACCCACCGCGGTTGTAGATCCGACCACGCGCTTGCTTGCCCCGGACACGCGAGTGATGTAGGGTTGTGGTGTGCTTTGACGTGTGCCCGCAAGTGGGAGCGTGTGCTTTTGCGTGCCATAGTCAACCACGGTTGCCCGAAGCAACGAACGCACGCCTTCCCCCCTTTTCCTTCGCGTTTGTGGCAAGGGGGTTACGTCGCTGAGTGCTGAGACCGACGCTAGGCATAGACAGACAGCTGCGGTGATTCCCACAACCAACAACAACTCGCTTTTCGGGTTTTGTTCTTGTGCTTTCGACATGACTTGGCTTTGTGCTCGGTTTCTTCCTTCCTTTCCGGAGCCCTTCTTACGATTCCCCTTTGACCCCCCGATGTGATGTGGTCTTGCCGTGGCCGCTGCTGCCCCTGCCGCCGCCGCTGCCGCTGCCGTACAGGGGGTGCGATCGACGTTCCTGGCAACGTGTTCGCGGACGACGTGGAAGGCTTCGACGGATCGGCGGAATGGAACATTTTCTGGGACCCGCCGGCGGCAAAGCGGGTGAGTGAGTGAGTGAGTGAGTGAGTGCAACAAACCAAGAACACCTCCGAACGGAGGGTGACACCACCCAAAGAACACTTCCGAACGGAGGGTGGCGAACAGTTCTTTGTTCGAGCGGTGGTACTTTCTGCATGGCAGAGAGTTGTTTGGTGGGTGGCGCTGTACGGGATCACCGCGCCGTAAGCGCATCTCGCAAGAGCGAACAATGCCGCAAGGAACGAATCTTTCTCGGCGGGTACATTCGGGCCGAGCACTCACCCGCCGAAACCGCTTTTTCGCAAGTCAGAAGATAAGAGAAATGAGATACGTCAATCGATCACCTCGGAGGAACTCTTCTTCTGGTACAACCGATCCGAGGGGGCCCTGGAGCTGAGAAAAGCAAAGGCCCTGTGGGTCAGGTAGAGATCGTCGCGAGCGGCAACCGCGGGCAAGGACGTGGCGACCCAACAGTTTTACCACTGGTGCTGCTGTGGTCGTTTCTTGCGCAGGTAGTGCTGCTGTAGTTCTTAGTTCTCGGTGAATGTCTGCGTTTGTTTTTAGCCAATCAATCGCGGCGGCGCAATTGCATGAGCGCGGTGGCGGCACGGGCGTTGTAGACATAAGCATCTCTCGCTTGTTTCCCGTGTGCCCTGTGCTCTTGGCGCCCTTCCACAAGGTTGCATTGCTGTAGCCGGGGGTGTAGTCACTCCCTGCGTCGTTTGGTGATGCCTGTGCGAAGAAGCCGAACTACCGCCAGCAACAGCCGCTCTAGGTTGCGGTATGTTAAAAACAAAGAAGGAAAACGTTCCGTCTAAAAAAACGTCAGTGCAGTTGCCGCGAAGCGCACGTGTTTTGTCTCGCAACAGAAAACCAAACTCGAAGTAATTGTTTTCACCTACACATAATCTCGTCTTATCCCGTGAGTGGTTCATGTCCCTCCCCCGGTGCCCCCGCGTGGTGGGAAGGTGTGGGACTCCGATCTAGAACTGGTGCTGACGCCTCTGGACGCCACCAACGAGGTGCCGATCACGAAGGAAACGCTTCTCAGGTAAAAAAGGGAGGCCCCGCGGCTGCTGCTGATGATGATATGGGCTTGGTTTTGCCAACAACAAAAAACGATAGTGTGGCCTGTTTGATGTGTTTGTAGCAAGATACATGTCTTCCCTGAACACGAAAAACGGAGGCGTGAATACCACACACGCCAAGTATGATACAAAGTCCATCCTTGAAGACAGCATTTGACCTCTTGTCGATCGTTAACAACGTGTTCCTCGTCCCCCCGCCGGATGTTTTTACCGTCATGACTGTTGTTCTTGTTGTTCCGGCATTAACATCAGGCTAGGTCGGCAGAACCAGTGCGCGTCGTCGGCTCTTGTGGGGAGCATTTGGTGAGAGGGTAGGGTATCGCAACTACCCCTTGATTGTTTCACACGACGCGCCGGCATACACACGCTATGCTACCAGGCAAGCAGGGCGTGGTGCCCACCGCCCCACCAAACACCCCTCTCGAGAAAAATCGCCTGAGAACGTTCGACTCGGACTCGACGACAGTTACAGTGGTGATTTCACCCACCATGGCTAGCTTGGCGAGATTTGATTGGCTTGGTGAAAAAAGCCTCCTGTTGTAGCACAAGAGCATGGAAAATACGGGCGGGAGGGAAGCGGTGGGGGGGGGGGCAGGACGTCTGGGATTGTGCGTCGTGTGGTCTCTTGAAAGCTAGAGTGAGAAGGCGACCCGGGTCGGATTCTTGTACGGTGCGCCCAAAGAATGAAATGCTCTTAGGTCGAGCAAAAGAGCGACGTCACAAGTAACAGCCCAAAAGAACCACAAAAAAAGAAACATTTTTTTATTTCTTTCTCAGACGTGATCGCTGGGGGATGTGGTATCTTGCGTCACCACGGACGGTACCAACCATGGTAGGTAGGCACCATCGTTGCTGGGTTTCCACAAACACCGACCACATTTTTTTTCGGACGGTTTTAGCCGTCGCCTTCTCGTACTGTTGTTGTCGAGTTGTACGATTGGTGTCGTCGTACCACTGTATGAAACCGTTCCCAGAGGTACGGATATTCTGAGTCCAATGGCACAAAAAGCTATTGTTCTATGTTCTCCGAAACAATCGTGAAATCCCGAGGCGGGGTCCGTGTGTAGGAAGCTCGCGGGCGGTGTTGCGGTGACGATTGAACCCGTTGAAGAGGAAGAACTGTCGCGGTGGAGGTGAGAGAATGGCGACGTGTACGTTGACGTAGTAGTTCGTTTTACTTGGTCTCTTTCCCTCGTCGCTTTCTTCCACTCGCTAGTTGTACAATTTGTAGGTCCCTGTCTCTCATTTTTTCTGTTTTATCTCTTATCTCTCCGTGTCTCCATCTCTCTTGTCTCTTTCCCTCACACGCACCTTGCAGAAAGGGCTTGCTGCCCGAGAGTACAACCGAACACAGATCGAAAACTTTCGCGCGACCCGCCATGTTGAGACAACAAACACCGCCGCCGTTGTTCAGAAAATCGAGCAGAAAATATACGCTTTTTCGTGCGTGCAGCGACCAAACTGCCCGCGTGCAACCCACCGGAGACACGCCGTCGCAACCCTCTGAAGAACCTCATCAACTCAAGAGCATCACACCCAATCAATGCGCTCCTTCCTCCGTTCGCGCCCCATCCCAAAATACGCGGCGGACGGCACGATCTGCTGCTGTGGACTACCCACGTTCCTCCGCAGGGCCCTGGCGGGAGCGCATCTGCTGGAGACCAAGACGCGACCGTTCTTCGCGTGGGATCTGCTCACGGTGGCCCAGCTGGTGCACCCCGAGCTGTTCACGACGTCGCAGGTGGAGTGCGACGTCGTCATCGGGGGAGCCAGCCAGGGGCGCACCGTACGAACGGCAACAACAGCAAGGGCGACGGCAGAGGCAGCAGCGGCAACTGCAGGTGGGGAGGGGGGGAGGGGGGGGGG